TTTATTTATTTGACACAGAGAGACACAGTGAGAGAGGGAACACAAGCAGGGGGAGTGGGAGAGGGAGAAGCAGGCTTCCCGCAGAGCAGGGAGCCCGATATGGGGCTCGATCCCAGGACCCTGGGATCATGACCTGAGCCGAAGGCAGCCGCTTAACCGATTGAGCCTCCCAGGCGCCCCTCATTACCAGCTTATCCATATATCCACCTCCTCTGCCTATGTCTCCTTATAGAAGAAGTGGGCTTATGCCTAGCAAAGGTCAATTCTCCACTTGTGCTCTGGATCCCATCTACTCTGGACTTTGCTCCTTCTGATAACCCTTCCCTCTCCACTGGAACATTGCCATTAGTTTACAAATACACTCTCACACCTCCCATTAACAAAAATGAAACATAACATAGCAAAACAAAACCCTCCCTGGACCCCACAAATGCCCTCCAATAACTGCTCCCATTACTCAGGCACTCACCTTTGTAAAGTCTAACGATACTTCCCATGCTGACATAATGCCTAAATTATTTTACTATCCTGAATAATATACTGCTGTCAATCTCTTGTCATCAATAATCCCAAAGAAATGTTAGTGTGGAAAATAGGAAGACAAAGGAAGGGCAGAGGAGCAAATCTGGAGAAGGATCAGATTCAGGGTCACTGTCCCCAATGGTTTGACTTCCCTGGGAAAGTTTAGTTGACATGCTTCTCTAGGCTTTGAGATTAGTGCTTCCCCCAAGAAGAAACACCACGCAGTGAGGACTGGCAAGAGCAAGCCTAAAATGACTCGATCCTTCTTTGATGAACTACAATGGCAGGACAGATGTAAATCGTAGTGCGAATACAAGTCACCATACTTGCAGCCCACATGGAGTTTGACAAGGGAAGTGGCCTACTAGCTCACCTTCTTCCCAGTGAGGACAGCTACACCACCATTCTCAATGTGAGGCAGATCTTGAGCAGAGACATAGAAAGAGGGTGGCTGGAAATATATGCTGTATAGAGAAGAGGGAGAAAATGTTATAAGCACCTGGAACTGCCATTAACTTCCCCCATAAGCTTTAGTAAAATTGTTTCAATCATGAAAACTCTTAGGAACATTTTCCAGAGTAAGTTTCCAAGTCCAATAAATCTTGGTAGTGACTTATTTACACAAAGGTATTTTAGACTAGTGGTTCTCACCTGGGGGCAATTTGGCAATGCCTAGAGGCATTTCTGGCTGTAACAGCTTAGGGGGAGGGAGGCTTCTGGTATCTAGTGGGCAGAGGCCAAGGATGCTATTAAACATCCTACAACGCACAGAACAGCCCCCACAACAAAGAATTATCCAGCCCTAAATGCCAATAGTACCAAGGTTGAGAAACCCTGCTCTGGATTTAGGTTCAAATTTAGAACAAGAAAGGGCGCCTGGGTGGCTCAGTTGGTTGAGCGTCTGACTGCTGATTTCGGCTCAGGTCATGATCTCAGAGTGATGAGATCAAGCCCCGTGTCGGGCTCTGTGCTCAGCAGGGAGTCTGCTGGAGATTCTTTCTCTCCCTCTCCCTCTGCCCCTCCACCCACTGCACACTCTCTCTCTCTCTCAAATAAATAAATCTTAAAAAAACAAAAAACAAAAAACAAAAAACCCCCCAAATTAGAACAAGAACACCACCCAGGGAGCTGGTATTCACACATCCACCCGAATGAGTTGTCCAGAATGGTGCTGATCAATGGACAGCGAGGTCTCGCACCTGAGAGGACTTTGCCACATTAGCTATGAGATATTAATGAAGGGATGGCTAACATAATTGACAGTATGCATCCTGCTTGAGAATAGAACATGATAATGGGAGTGAGGGAGGTGGGTAGATCTGTAAAACTTAGTCCAGTATCAAAGTGATCACTAGTGAGAAAAAAACTAGAACCCAAAAACATGGTACTGGAATCAAGAGACCCATGGAGTCCTATAGAAGGAGAAGGCTTCTGGACCTGTCTTTCCAAGTCTTTCATGCAAACATCTTAATAACAAGGTTCTTCCTTATAGTGTTTCCACTCTATTCCCGCAATTCTGCACGCCTACTAGGGTGTCAAGGAAAACTCCAGAGAACAGTGTCTTCTCTTTTGCTTTTACGGGAGACACCTCGGCAAGTGTAATGTAAGGAAGTGACAACACAGGCCGAGCTGATCTTCACGGCAGAAGTCTAACAGCAAGGTCCCGGAAATAGGTGCATTAGTCCTTCGGAGGCCAACATTACAGCTTTACTTGTTGGCAGATCGGGTAACAGAATCCAGGACTCTTGCCATTGCCTCTACACTGTGCCAAGTGTGCACCACAGCAGACTCCACATGGTCTGTGCAAACTCCTGACCAATGCCCTGCGCTCAGTTCAAGTTGCCAGTCAGGCCCAGTTTACAGAAGTGAACGCACCTCCTTTCTTTTCCGTTCCACTGTCTGAATCGCAGCGTCTTTGTGACATTCGGATCATCTGAAAACCACAGTTCTTTTGAAAGAGGAGGTCGCATGTATGGCAGCTCAGGATCTTCAGACACAATCAGTACCTTCAGATAGAAAATGATGACAGTTATCACAGCCAAGTCATTTAAGAGGCAGATGTCAAAGTGCGGACACTGGCTAAGTACTTGCAGACTCTACCCTCCGTGCCAAGTGGAAGAGTGTGTGCCTTACCCTGGCCCCAGGATCCCGAGCCCGGATGGATCTGGCTGCAGCAAAAGCAGCGGTGCCTCCCCCGATGAGCAGGAATGGGACGTGACTTGGTACCCTGACTTGAGGAATTGGTTCTCTTTCTGGAGCTGGAAGCAACACACCAGACAGGGTGAATTTTCTTAAAATCTCAGATGACTCTTTGCCACTATTTAAAGTTTACTTATTTATTTTTTAGTAATCTCTACACCTGACATGAGGCTTGAACTCATGACTCTGACCGAGATCAAGAGTCGCAGGCTCCTCCAACTGAGCCAGCCGGCCAGCCGCCTCTCCTTGCCACTATTAAAAAAAAAAAATCACCTTGTACTTGTTTTAATCCTTTACATAAAGCTAGCAAAGACTGTACCTACATTAATCTTGACAAACTTCACAGCAACCTGATGAGCAAGAAAAGCAAGTACTTTTTCATTTCATAAGTGAAAAATACCCCCCAAAGAGGCAAATGATTTGGCCAACGTCATTCATTCATTACATCTGTCAGAACCAGAACCTAGCTTAAATAGTCTATTTGTAAAATACATCAGAAAGTATATATCAGAAAGCTTCTGCTCTTCCCACTAACTTCCTAATGATCAACAGAAAAATACCAAGTTCAGTTTCACCTTTTGTTAGCAGTAAAAGGGGAAAACCCAGCAGGTCAACTGGGGATTATTATACAATGTTCAAGAAAAAGGAGGTGTTTTGAAGAAAGCAATGTAAATCGCCCACCCAGAGTTGTAGGGCTTATTAAGGGATTAAAACATTTCATTCTGAAAAATCAAGCCAGTCTTGGGGATGGAAGTGACAGCTAGTGCTATATGCTTTAGGAAAACAAATATATCCTTAACAACTTGAAAACTCCAAAGACTCTAAAGGGGAACAAAACAAACCAAAAGAATTTCCTCATTGGAAAAAAAAGGCCTTCATGTCTTTTCCAACAATTATCCTCACCAAGCTTGCCTTTTGAATTTAAAGCTTGCCTTTTTAAAATTTTTAATTTATTTTTATTTTTTAAATTTTATTTTATTATGTTAATCACCATACATTACATCATTAGTTTTTGATGGAGTGTTCCATGTTTCATTGTTTGCGTATAACACCCAGTGCTCCATTCAATACATGCCCTCTTTAATACCCATCACCAGGCTAATAAAGCTTGCCTTTTAAGAGTCTAATATATTAAAAAAAAACCAGCCAATCATAATCCTCATTAATAACTATTCTCAAACCCAAATTCCAGTCAAATACCTTAACAAATTGCTCCCAGGTCTGGGGTAATTCCACAGTTTCTGGAAGCTTACAATCTCACAGCATTGTCATGTCAATAAGACATCTGCAAAGCATAGCACCCAAACTGTTTTTAACTTGCCCTTCATATACTGAGTCTCAAATAATACTCACCAGGTGACGTGGCCCTTTTCTGTTTCTCTTCTGGTGTCAGCCCTAACCCTGACATTCTTTCATCATATCTTTTTTGATCATCTTTTATAGTCTTGTAGGCCTGCAGATCCAAACATGGAGAAAATGTCATCATAAAGCTAGCGCATACCGTAAGTAATATCATTATCTTTCAATTAAATGAGAAACTTTTGTCTACATGAAGTAAGTTCTATGTTAAAATCACTTAAGGCAAAATTATTTTCTCAAAAAAATATCGGGTATGTACACACTTGGTCTAAAAAGAACATAGGTACACCGATGAAAAGGTTCCAGTTTCAAATTTCCTTAGGCTCTACGTAAAGAATTTTCCTTATATTGAAGTCTGAAGGTACAGCTAAAGAAAAAAAGGAAATAATTTTTTTAATTTTTTCATTTTTTTTTTTTTATTTTTTAAAAGAAATCTCTATGTCCAACGTGGGGCTCAAACTCATGACCCTGAGATCAAGAGTCACATGTTTTACGACTGAGTCAGCCAGGCGCCCTGAATTACACTGATTTTAATTTTTACAAGCTTTTATAAAGAAATAAAACAAATGTATATTCATTAATACCTGAATGACTTTCCTCCCCTCTTAAGCTGTCTTTACCATCTTTTTTTAAATTTTTTTTAAAAGAAAATCATTTTATACTAGACGAATAAAGGGCTAAACTTTATTATTTTTTAAAGGTTTTATTTATTTATTTATTTATTTATTAAAGATTTTATTTATTTGACAGAGAGAGACACAGCGAGTGAGGGAACACAAGCAGGGGGAGTGGGAAAGGGAGAAGCAGGCTTCCCGCGGAGCAGGGAGCCCGATGCGGGGCTCGATCCCAGGAACCCGGGATCATGACCTGAGCCGAAGGAAGACGCTTAATGACTGAGCCACCCAGGCGCCCCTTATTTATGTATTTTTAAGAGAGAGACAGAGAGAGCACGAGTGGGGGGAGTGGCAGAGGGAGAGGGACAAGCAGACTCCCTGCTGAGCAGGGAGCCCAATGTGGGGCTCAGTCCCAGGACCCCGAGATCATGACCTGTGCCGAAGTCAGAGGCTTAACCGACTGAGCCATCCAGGCGCTCCAGGGTTAAATTTTATAAAAGGGGTTTTGGACCATGCTTAGCTGTGGATACTAGCTGTGAAACAAATCTATACAGTTCTGGGTAGGAAGCTGGGACATTACGTTTTCTTGGGAGACGTCCCAAGTTTTGCTGGGTACTCGGCTAATGCCCTGAAACATGACTGCCTGTATCCTAGTCTTAGAGAGTAACTCATCTTTCCCTCAATAGTCTATCCTGCTTTTGACACTTAGGTATTTACCAAGGGTTAAATACCTTGCTTAATCACCTATTTCAAATCTACTATCTTCTCTAGCTGTTCAACTTGAAGTGTCCGTTAGCATTATGACTAGTTTTTGTTTTTTTTTTAACGTACAGCACTGGAATTTATTGGAATTTAAAAAAAAATAGGCAAGAATGACTTGTTTTACTTTTGCTCTTTTGTACCCCAAAGGCTCAACAAGACGAAAATTTAAGTAACTGATGTTAACTGAAATCCCAGGTTGTTAATTAATGTAAAATTATGTAAAATTCCCTTTCTTAAAAGAAATTTTTTTTTAGGTGTGGGTAAATACTGGATTTGTGTATGGTATCTGATGGCAAGGTAAAAACTTTATTCCTGAAATTGATGTCAGTTGAATTCATTTTATTAATGTGATGAATTTAGTGGTGAATTCATCACAAAATGGAGAAAGTAAGGACAATCAGAAGTGTCATAAAACATGTTTGAAGAATATTTTTTTTAGAAGATTTCATTTATTATTTATTTGACAGAGAGAGAGAGAGAGAGAGAGAGCACGCAAACACAAGCAGGGGGAGAGGCAGAGGGAGAAGCAGGCACCCCGCGGAGCAGGCAGCCTGACGTGGGGCTCAATCCCAGGACCCTGGGATCATGACCTGAGCTGAAGGGAGATGCTTAATGGACTGAGCCACCCAGGCGTCCCTGAAGAATATTTCTATGAGCCCTTTACAGAGCAGCCCATTAGGCAGTGGGCTATAAGGAGGAACCTGGACCCCAGACTTAACATTTATCAGCCTGGAAATATCTAACATATGGTATAAATGGGTTAGAAAATTAAGGACGGTATGTTAAAAGTGAATGGCTATTCCTTGAATTCACCACTAAATTCATCACATTAATAAAATGAATTCAACTGACATCAATTTCAGGAATAAAGTTTTTACCTTGCCATCAGATACCATACACGAATCCAGTATTTACCCACACCTAAAAAAAAATTTCTTTTAAGAAAGGGAATTTTACATAAAAAGATGGCTTAAAGCTGGTCAACATGAGTAAACAGAGAAATAAACTGGGGTCATGTTTGGATGGAGAGAGATAGCCAAAAATAGCCTAGACCCAGTGGCTTCACATGTGAGGGGTAGAGTAGACCAAGAAAAATCTTTTTTTTTTTTTTTTTTTTAATATGGCATCTGTGACCTTATCTCTTGGTGCTCTTCTTAACCACATTAGCCTATTTACTGTTTTTGGTTTTTTTTTTTTTTAAGATTTTATTTATTTGACAGAGAGACAGACACAGCGAGAGAGGGAACACAAGCAGGGGGAGTGGGAGAGGGAGAAGCAGGCCTCCTGCCGAGCGGGGAGCCCCATGTGGGACTCGACCCCAGGACCCTGGGATCATGACCCAAGCCGAAGGCAGACGCTTAACGACTGAGCCACCCAGGCGCCCGACCAAGAAAAATCTTGAGGTTTAGTGGGGAAAGGACAAAAATGAGGGTCGTCATATATTTATATACATATTTACGTATCTAGTTTTTAAGTAAATATTCTGATATAAAAATGTTTGCAGACATACTAAATAAAAATTTACTTTTCCCCCAAGTATTACTGTATTCCCAGTTTGCACAGATTTCCAATTAGTGGCATGAATACGTGTCGGGTTAAGAAAAACTACAAATCTGTGAAAAATATCACTGGAGACAACTTTTCTAAACAGATTAATATGGCAATGTTTATTTGTCTTGAAGAAATTTGAAAGGAAAAAGGTCATTTTATGAGGCAATATGATTTTACCAGTTGAACAACCAGTTGAACAAGTTGGGCAAAGGGCCCCAATACTAAATCTCATTAAATAGTCTAAAGGCTACTTAGGCTCTGCTCACTGACAAGTAACAGGACTGAGATCAGATCTGTCTACAGTCCTAGAGAAAGTCACTAGCAAGACAAGGAGGAATGTCCACATCTACACCAATCAGGAGTTCCTATTTGCAATCTAAGCCAAAGAAGTGCTGTTCAGATCAGTGCTTTTCAAATTAAGGTTGCAACCCATTAGTGGGTGGTAAAATCAATTTAGTAAGGTTATAATCAGCATTAAAAAAACAAATAGAAGAGAATAAAACTATCAGAGTATGTCACACCTACTAAGTATTATTTTGAATTTTGTTTGAGTTTTATGTATTTATAGTTATATAACAGGTTGCCAGATAAAATGTAATTTTCTGTGAACTGTGGTGAGAAATGTAAAAACCACTGGTTTAAAGTACAGACCCCAAGGGTGCCCTGGGTGGCTCAGGGTCCTGGGATCAAGTCCTGTGTCCTACTTCCTGCTCAGTGGGGAGTCTGCTTCTCCCTCTCCCCCTCCCCCTTGCTTGTGCCCTCTCTCTCCATCTCCCTCTCTCTCTCAAATAAGTAAATAATAATCTAGGGGCTCAGTTGGTTAAGCAGCTGCCTTTGGCTCAGGTCATGATCCCAGGGTCCTGGGATCAAGCCCCTTATTGGGCTTCCTACTCAGTGGGGAGTCTGTTTGTCCCTCTCCCTCTGCTTCTTCCCCTGCTTGTGCTCTCTCTCACTCACTCTCTCTCTTTCAAATAAATAAATAAAATCTTTTAAAAAAACAATCCAGGGGTGCCTGGGTGGCTCAGTCGT